GTCTATGGGGGTGGGGGATTGGTCCAAGAGTGGAGGATGGTGGTCATGGGGGAATGGGAGGAGGAAGAGAGGAGATGGAAGGGGAAGGAGGATTGGGTTCTTTGGGTCAGGGGGAGGGAGGGGTTGGCTCAAGGTTTAGTCTTTTTCTTCAATTTTTTTCAAAAAAATAATTTTTAAAATTGATTTAACCAAAAATTGGTTGAAATATTGAGGATTTAGACGGTAAGAGAGAAATTGGTGAAAAAAAAAAAGTTTACATTCTTAATTTTCTAAAAAAATAAAATAAGTGTGAATCGAAAACTAAGTTCAAATTCAGGGAGCAAATGACCGATTAACCTTTTAATTTAATTTAGTTCCAACTCCTGAACAAACGTGTAAGCGAAAGGAGCCTTATCCCAAGTTTGGCCAGTTACATACATACATATCCTGTCTTCACTCTCTCTCAACACAACGCGTTTCACTCTCTCCTCTCATCCAAAAATTTCCAGCGTCCACAACTCACAACAAAAACCAAACTCTCTCTCTCTCTCTCTTAATGGCTTCCATATCTGCTCCTACCCCAAGCCCTCACAAGCTCCACTTCTCCAACCCCAAACCATACCCTTCCTCCGTCGGGAAAAGACCATTTTACCCTTTTTCTTCCCCTTCCTCCCAAACCCGCTTCAGGTTTCCCGATTCGGCCCTCTGCCGATGCCAGAACCCTTCTTCTTCCTCCTCCTCCGAGTCAATTCAGTGGAGATGGGACTCTGCGATCCAGGGCCTCATCCAAAATGCCATCGAACGCTTCGATTCCTACTTCAATTTTAAACCCCAAGGAGATTCCCAAAACGCACCGTTTGAGAGCGGTAACAGGGACGAGCCTGATTGGGACTGGGATCGCTGGCGCCAGCATTTCCTTGAGGTCGAAGAACAAGAGCGCCTTCTCTCTCTTCTCAAGGTATCGCCTTTTTACATATTCCTTTTTGCATGTTTTTGTTTGAATATATAATATAGAAATGATGATCGGTTTGCTTATTTATGTGAATTTTGGGTTTATGAACAGTCACAGTTGGGTCGTGCTGTGTATACAGAGGACTTTGAGGATGCTGCTAGGCTCAAGGTTGCAATTGCCGCTGCAGCTACAAACGACGTCGTTGGCAGAGTCATTTTTCATCTCAATGTGCGTGTGTGTTTGTTTTTATTATTCCTCACTTCTCTGTTTAACAGAATTAGCATCTCTCTTTGGGTAGCACTCTAATTATGGTGTTTTTCTGCAATTAAAAAATAATTTCAGAGAGCTGTACAGGAAGAGCGATACCAGGACGCTGCATTTTTTCGAGATAATGCTGGTGCTGGATTGGTGAGGCTACTTAGAAAGGAATTAAGTTTTTGATTAATAATGTGAAAATGTATGTTTATTATTTCTTCCATTTGAGTGTGTTTTTGGCTGGTAGAATTTTGACTTGGCTTGGTTTAATTATATGTGGACTTCCGATTTTGGGTTCTAGGTGGGTTGGTGGGCTGGCCTTTCAAAAGATAAGAAGGATCCTCATGGTTTAATTATACGGGTAACTGCAGAGCATGGAAGATATGTCGCAAGGAGTTACAGTCCCCGGTAAGTTGCTTTGCTTTTGAGTTTAACTTAGGGACCTTTTTTTGTTTCTATTTTTAATTTTTATGGAACCCAACCCAGTAGAGCATTTTAATCTCAACCAAGAACAAGTGGGAGAAGTTTAAGATTAAGAATTTGGCCCCTTGTTTTATCATTGTAAGAGCTAAAAGGTTAATCAGAAGAAATAGGACGATGCATGGGAGGTTATGAAGACAAACGGGGGATGCATATTAGCATAGGATAGGAGAATCCCAACTGATGAAGGTAATAAAATTACATTTTCAGCATCTTCTTGTCCTTCATTGTTTGTGGAGATCTGTTGGGGACAGGGATAACCACTTTTCCCTTTTCTTTTGTTATTGTGGGATGGCTAGTCAATATTCTGCCGACTTGCATCTCTAACCATTTTAATTCTAGTTCGTCTGAGCTGCTTGCATCTGTACTCGCCCAGAAAAAAAGAAGAAGTGGAGTCTCGTAAAAAGACATTTTACTGAATTGGACGTGGTAGTAGCAAGATAATGTTAAACATTCCCATTCATATCCCTACTCCTCCATCCCTTGAATTGAGATGGTACTAAGTGACTTCCTGTGTCAGTATTGGATACTATAAAAGGTCTGTGTAAGAACCTATGTATAAATAGATGGATCAGAGTGTGTTATGTTCTATCTGCAGCATTTGCATGTTTTATTTTTCATTGTAATTTTGTTTTGTTAAGACTCCTTTACCGTTTATGGTTTCTATTGGAAGTTTTATTTTGTACTTGAATTAATTTTTATCAAATGGACTTTGCCATTCTGCACGCTACTTGTGCATCCTACCAAAGTTATATCTTTATGAATTTTCATATTTTCCAGGCAGCTTGCTACAGCTGCAGCTGGTGTACCATTGTTTGAGATATTTGTAACAGCAAATAAGAATGGCGAATACAGACAGCAGGTATCCTTGTAATCTCTAATTGTAGTATAATGTAATGCATCAGTACTAAATTTTAAATGGGCAGTGATAGGCTTGCATTTTCTAGTGAATGCTTGTGACTGTTTTGATCTTAATTGGACTTTTGCAAACTTTCTTATTGATACAAATTGAAATGCTAAAGTACTTCATATTCTAATGCCATGAATTTCAGGCTGTGTTTTTAAAGCGAGGAGGAGTTTTTGAGGATTCTTCACCAGTTAGCTCCAAGCCATTGGATGCCACTAGCAGCTTGAATTCTTTAGATTCAACTGAAGAAAAAAGTGATCTACTTGTTGCAGGCAGTGAAGATGCTGAAGATGGTGATGATGGGGATGATGACTCTGATCTTTCTGAGGGACTTTCTGGTTTTCAGAGTATCTTGAGAGATATGATTCCTAATGTGAAGGTCAAGGTTTTGAAAGTGACATCACCAGGGAAGGTAGACAGGGATCTAATATCGAAAGTGATTGAACAGATTATTGAGGAAGATGATGAAGATAAGGATAGTGAAATAGAGAGTTTAGAAGCTGAAGATGATGAACAGGTTGAGGATGACGAAGAGACAGATGTGATTGAACTGGATGCTGATCCTGGAATTATTCAAGGTGCAGAGCGACGTGAAATTGCAGTTAAAGTGGTTGTTGGTGGTCCTGGGCAGAAAATATCAAGCAGGCCCCCTACGAAAAATTTGCTCCGAGTACCTGCTAAAATAGAGAAGAAGGGACGTTTATCATTTTCCTTTACTGTTGAGAAAGATATTGACCAACAGGATTCCCAAGAAAAGGAACGGTCGTCAGTAGATAAAAAAGCTAAACTTGGAGGTCAACGTAGCATTGACAATGTTATGTTTGATCTCGCTAAGTTCATTGGTAAAGAGAAGATACCATTGAAGGTTTGCTGACTTTTCACTGTAGGATGAGAACAACCTGTAGTTTACCAAATCCACCACTTTTCATACACTAAATTTCTCTGTTCACTTTTTCGACTATCAGGTACTCAAGGATGTTGGCGAGTTAATAAATCTTGCTCTTAGCCAGGTTAACAACCATCAACCACTGTCAGGATCAACCACTTTCAATCGCATTGAAATGCCTGATTCTCCAGATCCTTTAAATGGTGAGTTTCTGCAAAATTTTCACTTTATGATGCTATAAATAGGAAGAAAGTAAGTGCACAAAGCTCTTTCCCCAACCCATTACTCATTCCAAAATCTTACCCTTTTTCCATTTCCCAATTCAAAGCGACAAGAAGAAGAAAAGGAGTTGATACCATGAGAGTTTTCTTTCTGTGGACACTGACTTATGCCCTTGATCACTGTCTTGTCTTGGAATCCCAACCATTTTCATGCAACCCAGCATGGCATAAGGAATCCCCTCTTCAAAGGAAATCTCCGCAACCATCTTTCAAGTAGTGCTAAATTTTTTATTTTATAAAATTCCTTGCTCCTCGCCCGTAACCTCTTTTCTTACCACTCTAGATGCAGCCCTAATCAGATGATCCTTTCCCCTTTTCATAATTGTGGGAATTTTTTTTGTATGCAATTCTCTTTTTTCTGACTGGAGGACTGTTGTTCTTTAAGGGGTTCATTGCCACTCTTTCTTGTATTGTACTTTTGTTTATTCAAGTTTGTTAGTTTGTAGACTTTAAATTCAGTCGATATATTGTCCTCTGCACCTTGAACTTAGTAAACGGAATCTTACATTAGAGTTTTCTTATAGTTATTCATTCTTTTCTTTTTTGGTTCCAAAAACTTTAAATGCATTTGCTTTACTTAATGACAGACTCTTCCCCCAGCTTAGATTTAATATACTGAGAATAGGTTGATTTTGTCAGGACTTTACATTGGTGCACATGGGCTCTACACCTCAGAAGTGATTCACCTTAGACGTAAATTTGGTCAATGGAAAGAGGATGGTGGTACTCAGAAGCCTTCAAACCTTGAGTTTTATGAATATGTAGAAGCCTTAAAACTTACTGGGGATCCTTATGTACCTGCTGGCCAGGTAAGTTTAAGGATGTGATTATTGCGTAGCTTCATAATAGTTCATTGAAATATAATCTCATGGGATATTTGCATGGAATCTGCTCGTAGTTATTTTTTCATATTTTTTTCTGAAACAAGTTATCAAGACTTGGTTGACTGGAAGCCAAACCTAGGTCATCCATAGTGCTCCTCTGAACTTCGGAATGAACATTTGGGCCCCACAACACTTTTCAATGAATAACTATGGGCTCCCTAAACCACCTCCTTACACAAAATTTAGGAAGGAACTGAAAAAACACAACTCCAACCATGCTTCTTACCCACCTAAAATAGGGAGACCTCTAGGAGCTCCTAAATCTGGATAGAGAGAAAGGACTCCTAGTGGCTCCCTATAATTAAAAATTAAAACATTTGTTACTCTCTAAACTATGGAGTATGGTTGGAGTTGAAATTTTATAGAGAACTCATAAAATAGCTTTCAAGTGTTTTTAGCTAAATTAGGGAGCATGATTGTAGATGCTCGTACCTAGTTTTTCTCTAAACCTTAATGGCAAATTATCAATTTGCTTCTGCAGGTGGCATTTCGTGCAAAGATTGGGAAACGATATCAGCTTCCTCATAAAGGGATCATACCAGAAGAATTTGGAGTGGTATATTCTTAACTTGTTAGATCAAATATTTTCTGATCACTTATTATTATTATCAGGCACATTTTTGTTTTTCTTGGGAAGAGTTTCTTTTATTGACTTTTTTTGGAAACTCAGGTTGCTCGATATAAAGGGCAGGGGAGACTTGCTGAGCCAGGGTTTCGCAATCCTCGATGGGTTGATGGTGAACTTGTTATTCTTGATGGAAAGGTTTAATATTTTTTCTGCTTTATCTTTTGTTTCAGTGTGTCTTAATCTTAAACAATACTTCATTCACCATCTCCAGAATGATAGTGACTACATAATATACCTTTATTAAACTATTGCAGTACATTAAGGGTGGACCTGTTGTTGGATTTGTTTATTGGGCTCCGGAGTATCATTTCTTGGTGTTCTTCAATCGACTGAGGCTTCAACAGTAGATTTCCATTGTACATAATGCTCAAGTTTGTTGATATTTTTTGTTCAAAATTTTGTAGGGTAAGTTCCTTTTCATCTGAAATTATCTATGTAAATTGTACAATATTGCAAATGTTGCTGTTAAATTTCATTTTCTCATTTAAAAAAAATAAAAAAATGTTGCTGTTAAATTTTCTGCTATACTCTGCAATTAGTCATACATGTCTTGTTTTGGGAGGTGATCCAATCCCCCCTAAAATTTGCTTGCAGTTTGCTAGATTCCAGTGGCAATTTTTTTTTTTCTACAATGAATCATTTTAGATTGAGTTGAAAATTAACCTTTTGATACCTGATGTGCATATCGTAAGGTGGGTGTTGGATATGATTATAGTGGAGTTGTAGCACTCATAAATTTTTAGTTATCAGATTAACTTTAGAGGTTGTTGTAAGTACATAGAAAAATTCAGGATGAGAGATGATAAAACATAAAAAGGGGATATCAAGGCACCAAGCCTTCATGGGAGTAAACCATTCTGCAAAACTTTATTTGAATTCATCAAAATATGAGTGGCTTTCCTTATTTGTAGGATTTACAAGCCATACGAAGAAGGGAATGGGGAGAGGGTGGAGTAGAAAGGAAGAAGGGAAAAGAGGAAAATTTATTTTCTTTCCTTTTGTAAAATCTAATGCACAGATGCATTAGTGGCCTTCATCCCTATCAGGCATGATCTTTTAAGGGAGTGGGTGTTTATGTGTTTATCTTGTATGGACATCAGTTTTCCAGTTTCTAATCATCATTAGAATGTTTTCCTTTGTGGTTTTATTGTTCTAAGATGTTAATTATTAAATAGAAAATTATTTAATTATTCCTCTGATGAAGTTTTCCTTTTCTGTCTGTTGTTGTCCAGTTTTGCAGTTATTTATTAGATATCTATCTGATGGGCTACATATCCAATGCTCACTCAACTGACTGGTGCACTTGCAAGCATGTTGACTCAAAAACAACTACTCAAGCTTTGGAATGCAATAGAATAGATAAAGCCCTTCTGTTGACCTGTTTCCAGAAAATGGTTTTCTGTCAATGTATGTATTTAACATCTACCATACCATCAATGTTTTATTTCAGTTATTATAAATTAAAGTTATTGCTTTGAGCAGTCTATTTCTTATAGCCTGTTCTTGAGTAGTCTTCATTCTGTAGAAGCAGTTAGCACTTGTGAAATACATGAACTATAGATGTGAGAATTTGATTCCTGTGGATATTGGTTGGGCTCATTCAATGTGAATAATAGAAATCAAATGCAATATAACTATCTCAGTTTCTCTTCTCATAATGAAAGGATTACATTAACAATGTTTGCACTTCTTTTTTGTTGGGTTTTATTATTGGTTCTGTTTTTCGGCTATCAAATTTGTTAATGATGAAACATTGAGATTACCATGTTTCTTTCTCTTTGTTTTCCTTCCTAGGTGTTTTTTTCCCTCTTTTTTTCAAGGTTTTGGGTAAAGGTTTGAGCAAAGGAAGTTGTAGACTAGAAGCCTGTTACTGACTTTGCAGTTTGCCTGGTGATTTGCAAGATTTTGTTCTCATCAATACCCTAAATCCTTATGCTTTCTGTAGAAACCATTGTTTTAGCTCCACTAAGGTAACACCTTACCATAGATGCATGCCTTGATAGAACCACTCTTTCGATGCAATTGAAGGAAGTGATATGTTGTTGCTTGACCATCACTCCAACACTAATGTTGATTAAGGCCACCTTTGATTCCAAGGATTGAATTAGATAGGATAATTGAAGGAAGAAATGGAGACCAACTTCTAAATTTTGTCCAAGTTGAAGATAAAAGATGGATTAGCCACAAAGGAAACTTATCCCTTTCAATCCCAACAAAATAAGCTTGTTTGATAACTATTTTATTTTCAAATTTTAGTTTTTAGTTTTTGTTTTCTCTTTTTTTTAAAACTAAAAACATGTTTCATAACAATTTTTCGTTTTTTGTTTTCGAAAATATGAAAAATCAGCTTTCAAAATAAGGGTGATATTTGAAAACAACTTTAAATGTTTACATTTTTCAGTTTTCGTTTTTTGCCCTCTTTTCTAATTCATCAATTCTACATCAACCACGCATGCATGGTAATCCAATTCCAAAAAATTCGGCTGCTTGACTCTTGTGTTCAGCCTCGAGACCTCTTGATTTAAAATTTACAAAAACATTCATCTTAACTTCAAAAAAACTTCATCGAAAAATGCTACATATTCTTTGTAGCATGCACTTTCATTCTATGACCTCAAATCCACAATTCGACTCTAAGAAAAATATCATTTTTAAATTCCACATGAATAGGTATTACTTCAAAGTTTCATTAGAATTGAACTTGAGTGAAAATTGAAATTATGATATGAGATTCATATCGCCACCTTGAGCAAGTGGAACCCACCTATTACCCTCTAGCACCCGACATTGACTACCAGACTTCTCCAACTCTTGCACAATCACACATTCGCACTCTCGCACTCCCGCATCTGCACCATCTCGCGCATTATTGCACTTGCATCGTCGCACTCTCACACCTACACATACACTTGAGGTCTGATCTTATAAATATAAGATCAGGTACTGAAGATCTTCATGTAGATGTCAAGATCTAGTAGAATCAAAACAGACCCCAACCAAATCAATTTTATAAGGAGTAATGCTATTTAGTCACCCATGATTGATTACATTAATTGACTACTTTATGTGGCAGTAGATGTGGTCATGCCATGTTAATTAATGAATACTGCCATGTAAATTTTATTTTTATTTACTTTTTTTTTTTTAAATAATCCTTAAAAACAACAAAATTATAATTAACCCTAGCATCTGTACGTTGTAGCAGGCTGCAGCTTCGTTCTCTACTCAACACTCCCTTCCTCCATCAAATCTATCCTTACTCAGTAACACTGCCAAGCTACGCGAGAAACCCGACAAATCACATCGATCCATCTTGGAAGAACATTCATATTTAAAATAAAAATAGTTCATATTTTGGGATTTGTTCGACTTCGATTGTTCACCAGACCGCCCATTTGATTGGAAAGCTAATACTCCATTCCTAGCAACATACTAAAGCTTTAAAATTCTTTTTAATTCTTATATACATGACCAGAGAATATGAGATCTCAAAATCAATTCGGATTTTCTAGATAGCTAGTGAAATAGGCATTAAGATTTTTGAGTTGGATTTTCTAGATTAGTTGATTTGCAGAGTTGAGTTTGTTGAATCAAAGAATTGGTTTTCTTTTTGGAGAGAGATTGCAGGAGGATGAGCAAAGGCCAAAGGGGAAGGAGAAGGCAGCCAAAGGGATACAACGAAGAAGAAGAAAAGTTGAAAATATAAATTACTTAATTTAAAAAGAAAAAAATAAAAACACAGTTGGACACATTTAAGTGACGTGGCATATACACATCAGCTGTTATATAAGGTGGTCAGCTAATGTGTTCAATCTTGTGTGTCCAAATAGCATTGCTCTTTTATAAGATCAAGTATTGAAGATCTTCATGTAGATGTCAAGATCTAGTAGAATCAAAACCGACCCAAACCAAATCGATTTGGTTTGGTTAAAATGTTTTGAGCATTTCAATGAAAATCAAAATTGGACTGTTTCCACAGCTACGAACAAACATAAAGGGTTTTTTTTTAATTATTTTTTTAATAAATTTTTTAACGCAAATATTTAACTTTCAATCGCCTAGAAAAATAACTTTTTTCATTATATAGAAGACTCTTGATTTTGCAACTATTGATAAAGGTATTTAGAGAATTTAACTATAAATTTAAACCACCATAATTTTTCTTTTTTCTAAATTTCTTCTTCTCATTTGAAGAAAACAAAAAATCAAGGCTATGCTCCATTTTATTTTTCATACTGATAATTAACAAGAGGTATTGTAATTTACTAATAAAGTTATCAACTTAATATAATTTTTTATATTTTAATTTTCAATATTTCTTCAACAGCCACCTTTTTAATGTAAATGTTCTTATTATTTGTTTTGGCTTGGACAAGCTTTTAAAACCAAGAGCCCCTTATCCCGGCACCTCTCTCTTTTCCTTGAAACCCCAAATCATCTCCAAAAATGACTCTAGACTTATGAAGCCCCAAAAAATCCACACATATAATAGCATGCCATTACCCACAACCATAACACCACCATCCTTGTGCCCTGCTCCAATCTTCCCTCCAAATCACCCCCATTTCCCGCCAAGAAACCAGTTTCCTCCGAGACCCATCTTTCACAGGCCAAGAATGGCAACTCTTTCTGGGTTCATTGCTGGGTCACAACTTGTGGGTTCTTCAGGCAGTGGTGGTGGTGGTGATAATGAGGCCCGCACTCTGATTGAGTATGTTGGCGGCGGAGGTGTCGATGTGGGCGATGATCTTGTGCTTTTAATCCATCACTTACAGTACGCCTGCAAGAAAATCGCAGCTCTTGTGGCCTCTCCTTTCAATTCTACCCTTGGGAAGCATACGGGTTTTGCTGCCGGCGCCGGCGGTTCGGCCGGTGGGTCAGGCAGGGATGCACCGAAACCGCTTGATATTGTTTCGGTGAGTTTAGGCTGTTTTCTTTGAAACCCAGAAGATATAATTGTCTTTGTTTATAATGTGCTTTGGTATTTAGTGATTTATAATGTTTGATAGTCGTAGTAAGTTGGGGAAGAAGAAACTATGTAGTTGGTGGGAATGTTTGTATTGTTCATGTTTGGGGAATTGATTGTTGTAATGCAGTATATATGCATACTCTCAGTAGAGTTCTTGGACTGATTGTAATGTAGATATAATTTCAGTGAATGTGATTCAAATTGCTTGAGTTGAAATTAACTCCTTTTGAGTTTAAGTAGCCTAAACTAGATAATTATTGTCCTCAAACATGTATGAGAAGAGATAAGAGATGAGAGATAATTTTTCAACCAAATCGGGCTTTACTTAACCGTTCATTGAATTGAGAAAAAAAAAATGCAACTAATGTTTAACTTCTCTTTTGCTTGACCCCTTTAGAAGATAGGATTGAAATATGCTGTGTGTTCTTCATTGAACCCAGATAATAGAACCTTTTTTTTTCTTCTCTTTTTACAAACTGAAGATGATTCAACTACCTATATCTGATAACCTATGACATGGGCATTTCAATTCAAATAATGTTTTTAGAATAACACCTATGGCTTTCAAATGAACTGCTTAAGCCAGACCAAAAATAAAACATAAAAAAGAAATGCTCTAGGATCAAATCTCTTCTCCATCAAGGTTTCGTGGATTTCCCATCTTTGGGGTAGGGTGTTAAGGGTTAACTAAAAGAAAAAATTCAAATTAACTGCAGGGAATATAGCACTGATCATCTCTCCCTTTGTAAGTATTCACGTTGGGTTGTCATCATGAATAAAGAAAGAACATTTTTGATTAACTGACCTTTCTTGTTTATTATAGAATGAAATCATCTTGTCGTCACTTAGAAGTTCTGGGAAGGTAGCTGTCATGGCATCGGAAGAAGATGACACTCCAACTTGGATACGTGATGATGGCCCATTTGTGGTGGTAACAGATCCTCTAGATGGTTCGAGAAATATTGACGCATCCATTCCCACTGGGACGATTTTTGGGATTTATCGACGCCTTGAGGAACTGGATGATCTACCAACAGAGGAGAAGGCTTTGCTGAATTCACTCCAGACCGGAACTAGGCTTGTAGCTTCTGGTTATGTTCTTTATTCATCAGCCACGATATTCTGCACAAGCTTTGGTTCAGGAACACATGCATTTACATTGGATCATTCCACGGGAGATTTCATTCTTACACACCCAAGCTTAAAAATTCCTTCTCGAGGTAACACTGAAATAATAATATACTTCAATTTAGTAGATTTGATTTGAAGATTTATATAAATTTCTAACAGACAAAATAAAAAATGGATTTATTCAGAAAAATCATGAAATTATCTAACCTGTACAATGACTATTACACATTGACAATAAATTGGGCGGTTGATTATTGACTGTTATTTATCAGAATAAGCATCTCCCTACAAATACTACCATAACTTGGTAATAAATAGCCAAAGAAGTCAATTTCATGAGAGGGTCTGCATGTTTGTTTCAGAAAAAAGAGATATTGCGGAATGCAACATAGAACCATTTAGTTTGCACTTACGGTGGTGGCTCTTTATTTTCCAGGGCAAATATATTCTGTAAATGATGCTCGATATTTTGACTGGCCCGACGGATTAAGACTCTACATAGACACTGTGAGACAAGGAAAAGGCAGGT